CATATATGACAAGTCCACAGCTAGCATCCTACTCAATGGTGAAAGATTGAAAGCTTTTCCTCTAAGATCAGGAACAAAGCAAAGATGCTCACTCTCACTCACCACTTTTATTCAACATATTACTGGAAGTCCTAGCCAGAGCACTTAGGCAATAAAAGAAATAAAAGGCATCCAAATCAGAAAGAAAGATATAAAATTGTTTGGCGATGACACAATCTTATGTATAGAAAACCCTAAAGACTCCATTAAAACACTATTAGAAAAAACTAATTGCGCAAAGCTGCAGAATTCAAAATCAACATACAAAAATCAGTTGCATTTCTATACACTAACAATAAGCTATCTGAAAAAGAGATAAAACAATACCATTTGTTTTACCATCAAAAAGAATAAAACACTTAGAAATAAATCTGTAAATAAATATAAAATATCTGTATACTGATAACTAAAACATTGATGAAAGAAATTTAAGAAGATACAAATAAATAGAAAGATATCTTATGTTCATGGATCAGAAGAATTAATATTGTTAAAATGTTTATACTACACAAAACAATCTACAAATTCAGTGCAACCTCTAACAAAACCCTATGGCACTTTTCAATGTAATAGAAAAAAATCCTCAGAGGCACCTGGGTGACTCAGTCAGTTAAGTGTACAATTCTTGATTTTAGCTCAGGTCATGATCTCAGGGTTGTGAGATTGAGCCCCATGTCAGGCTCCGCACTGAGCATGGAGCCTGCTTCAGATTCTCTCTCCCTCTCCCTCTGCCTCTCCCCACCCCACACTCACTCACTCTCTCTCTCAAAACAAAACAAAACAAAAAGAAAGAAAAAACAATCCTCAAATTCATATGAAACCACAAAAGACCCTGAAGAGTCAAAGCAATCTTGAGCAAGAACAAAACTAGAGGTATCACACTTCCCAATTTCAAATTATATTACAAAGCTATAATAATCAAAACAGTCTGGTGCTGGCATAAAAAAAACAGACACATATTCCAATGGAATGGAATAGAAAGCCCAGAAATAAACCCACACATATACAGTCAAGTAATCTTCAATAAGGGTGCCATAAATAGAAAGTGGGGAAAGGACAGGCTCTTGAATAAATGGTGCTGGGAAAATGGGATATCCCCATACAAAAGAATGAAATTGGACCCTTATCTTACACCATACACAAAAACCAACTCAAAATGGATTAAAGACTTATGTAAATAAAGCCATAAAACTTCTAGAAGATAACATAAGGGAAAAACTTCTTGACACTGGTCTTGGCAATGATTTTTTTGTTGTTGTTGTTGTCTATGACACCAAAAGCACAAACAACAGAAACAAAAATAAAAAAGTGAGATTAGGGTGCCTGGGTGGCTCAGTTGGTTAAGCGACTGCCTTCGGCTCAGGTCATGATCCTGGAGTCCCGGGATCGAGTCCCGCATTGGGCTCCCTGCTCAGCAGGGAGTCTGCTTCTCCCTCTGACCCTCCCCCCTCTCATGTGCTCTCTCTCATTCTATCTCAAATAAATAAATAAAATCTTTAAAAAAAAAAGTGAGATTACATCAAATTAATTCAAACTAAAACAAAAACAAAAACAAAAATCCAAAACAAACTAAAAAGCACAGCAAAGGAAACAACAACATGAAAAGGCAACCTACAGAATGGAAGAAAATATTTGCAAATCATGTATCTGATAAGGGGTAATATCTAAAATATATAAGGAAATCATACAACTCAATAGCAGGAAAGCAAATAACCTGATTTAAAATGGGCAAAGAACCTAAATAGACATTTCTCCAAAGAAGACATACAAACTACCAACAGGATTATAAAAAGGTGCTCAACACCACTAATCATTGGAGGAGTGCCAATCAAAACCACAATGAGCTATCACTTCATACTTGTTAGGGTGACTATTATCAAAAATAAACAAAAACATAAGTGTTGGCAAGGATGTGGAGAAAAGGGAAGCTCTGTTGATGGAAACACAAATCGGTGCTGCCACTATGGAGAGCAATATGGAGGTTCCTCAAAAAGTTAAAAATAGAAATATCATATAATCCAGTAATTCCACTTCTTGGTATATATCCAAAGGAAATGAAATCAATATCTCAAAGATATCTGCACCCCCATGTTCACTGCAGCATTATTTACAATAGCCAAGATGTGGGAAAAAAACTAAATGTCCACCAATGGATGAACGGATAAAGAAAATGTGGTATATGGTGTGTATATATACACACACAATGGAATATTATTCAGTTTTTAAAAAGAAAGAAATCATGCCATTTGTGGCAACATGGAGAGACCTGGTGAACATTATGCTTAATGAAATAAGCCAGACACAGAAAGACAAATACTATATGATCTCCCTTATATATGGAATCTCATAGAAGCAGAGAGTAGAACTGTAGTTTCCAGGAGCTTGGGGCAGGAGGGATGGGAGGCAAAGGTCAAAGGGTACCATTACGCAAGTAAAAAAGTTCTGTAGATCTACCATGCCGCATAGGTTCTATAGCTATCGATGCTGTACTGCATACTCTAATATTCCCCTTGGTCATCCAAGAGTATTGACTTGTCACCCAGCACTCAAAAATGAGCGTACTAAATGGTTCAGAGACAACCTTTCAACACATAAACAAAATCTGCTTTAGAAAATAAAAGAAACAAAGAAAGAAGGGAGCTCTCTACAAGACTACTTTTTATCCCATTTCCCCCCTATTTGCTGCACAAATTAATCTCCTGACACTAGTGAATCCTTTCTTCATGGTGTCTGCACACATTCATCTACAGCAACTCCTTCCTGGAAAACCTACATTTATCTTCATTTCATCTTTCAAAAACTGAATTGAAATCCATTGCTTCTAGGATGTCATTTTTCTGACACTGATTAGAGGAGTGTAGTAGCTAAGCCTGCAAGTATGTCATGAAATATCAAAATCAGTTCTTCAATTGCCCTGGGTAAAATCCCCATCTTCTTTTATTACATGGCCCATTCTTCCAGTCCTCATGGCGTATATGCAGCCTTTCCTCTCGAATCCAGTTATTAAGTATCAACACCCTAAGCTCGGAAGAGTTTCTTGTAACTTTATTTCCATTTGTTGTATGCATGAAGAAACAAAATCCTGTGTGTAATTAATCATACTTTAAAATGCTTCTCTGATAAATTCTGGCATATCCTAAAATTTACCAAGTATTATAGCTTAACACCTTCCACAGCTAAGCTGGAAATTCATTTTATAGTTTCAGAGGGAAAAGGTTGTGTTTCATTACAAATGTGGACTATGCCAGATAAGCTATGATTTTAGCACCTGCCCTTTCTATGATCGGGCAGTCCCTACTACACATATTCAATTATCTGTATTTACAGGTATCATGAGCCTCCCTAACAAACTAGACCTTTTGGAGAACTGCTACGGCAATAAATAGCATTTATGAAGTCCAGAGTTCTGCTCCCCTCTTTCCAATGAATTTCTACTAAGACCAAAGATATTTTCATAGTTTTACTTTTACTAGTAAAGCAAAACTGCTGCGACAGTAGCTCTCACCCTGGCTGCAGTTCAGAGTGACCTGGGGACATCTTAAAAATCTTGACACCCAGGGGTGCCTGGGTGGCACAGATGGTTAGGCATCTGGCTCTTGGTTTCAGCCAGGATCTTGGGGGTGAGCCCCACATTGGGTTCCACGCTCAACATGGAGTTCACTTGGATTTCTCTCTCCCCCTCCCAATGCCCACCCTCCTTCAAAAATAAATAAAAATATCTTGAGGGGCACCTGGGTGGCTCAGTCGTTAAGCATCTGCCTTCGGTTCAGGTCATGATCCCGGGGTCCTGGGATAGAGCCCCGCATCGGGCTCCCTGCCCAGCGGGGAGCCTGCTTCTCCCTCTCCCTCTGCTCCTCCCCCCTGCTTGTGCTCTCTCTTTCTCTCTGATGAATAAATAAAAAATATTTAAAAAAAAAATCTTGATACACAGACTGTGCCTCAGTTCAATTAAACCAGAGCCTCCAGGGGGGAACCCAGGCAGCAATATAGGTGACCCTTGAACAGCATAGCATGGGTTTGAGCTGCACAGGTGCACTTATACGCAGATTTGTTTTTCATTGCAGAGCAGTACTATAAATGTATTTTCTCTACCTTATGATTTTCTTCATAACATTTTCTTTTCTCCAGCTTACTTTGTTGTAAGAATACAGCATATAAGCATAAAACATACAAAATATGTGTTAATCAATTGTTTATGTTATCAGTAAGGCTTCTGGGTCAACAGTAGACTATTAGTAGTTAAGTTTGGGGGAGTCAAAGGTCATACAAGGATGTTTGACTGCATGGGGCCGGTGCCCGCCACATTAATCAAGGATCATCTGTATTTTCTGAGGTGCCCAGGTGATTCCAACAGGCAGCCTGGAGTGAGAACCACTAGCGTAGCAATACTGGGAAAACATCTAGTATCCTGTTTGCATTGGGTAAGAACTAGTATGTCCAAAATCTAAGTTTTGCTCATGTGTACTATCATCCATCTGTGAACCTAATTCTGAATGTCCTACAGCCAAATGAAGTTGTTATGATAGTAACATGGAGACTAACCCCTAAAGAAAAAGAGTAAAGAGCCAGCAGAGGTCTCTAATGATTTAGGGCCCTTTTTCAGGGAGAAAGAAGAGGAGAGAGTAGGTGTATCTTACAATTGCCAGCATACAATGGATTGCATTCTAAAAATCTACATGCCTATGGTTCCCTGCTTCATCCTCACCCCTCCAGATTCTGATAAGCAGTTCCAGAATAGCAGATAGGTTGGGCATCTGTGTTTGGGTAATGTCTTTATCCCATCCTATGTTTAGATATGGAAAGCACAAAACTGTTGTGTTTTTCATCCATGGATTTAGGCATTATATTTCCACTAGCTTTTGGTTTTTCCCCTAGATATGTGTCCTACTCATTTGCAAATTAAAAGTTTGTATAATTAGAAGTAGGGTGGTTAAAAATGAGATGAACATGACTGCCCTTACCTTCCCTGACTTTGGTCCCTCCAAGGACTATCGCAGATATGCCAACAGATGATGATAAGAGCCAAATACAGATGTTGATGATCTTTGCCTTCATAGGTGTGCGAAAGTCTAAAGCCTTGACAGGGTGGCACACAGCAATGTATCGGTCCACACTCATCATGGTCAAGGTAAATATGCTGGTAAACATGTTATAGTAGTCAATAGAAATTACTATCTTGCACAGCACATCCCCAAATGGCCAGGAATTCATCAGATAGACCGTGCTCTGGAAGGGCATGGTTGTAGTAACTAAAGCATCTGCCAACGCCAGGTTAAATATATAAATGTTGGTTGCTGTCTTCATCTTTGTGTATCTAAAAGACAAGAAACAAGATCATTTCTCTTCAACTTTATGTCAAGTCCATGAAGTAAATGTATTTGTAACAACCTTTGAATTATTAAATTTGTTTTTCATTCACTTATTCTTTACATATTTATTGAGCATCTAATATATAAAAGACTTCTAGTTATTAAGGGTAGTAGGAAAAATGGACAAAAATCTCTGACTTGACTTAGCTTTTATTCTAGTGCTTTGTTCAAAATATATTTAAATTTAAAAAGGGGAAGAAAATAGCATAGATAAATAGATAAATATACATACAGATTTTTTTGACAGACTTACACATAATACAGGTCTTTCTTTTGTGACTGACAATTCATTTTAATCCTATCGGAGTTGCTTGCCTTTAAGCATTTTTTTTACATACTTTATTACTTCCCTTTCCCTGTGTAAAACAAAGATAAAGCTTACTCAACTTTTCCTCAGGGTCATTTTGAGAAATCCATCACTGTAATTACATTTTTTGAAAAATCGAAATGGTTTTCATTTTTTTTAAAGATTTTATTTATTTATTTGAGAGAGAGAGAATGAGAGAGAGCACATGAGAGGGGGGAGGGTCAGAGGGAGAAGCAGACTCCCTGCCGAGCAGGGAGCCCGATGCAGGACTCGATCCAGGGACTCCAGGATCATGACCTGAGCCGAAGGCAGTCGCTTAACCAACTGAGCCACCCAGGCGCCCTGGTTTTCATTTTTAAAATACATTCAATTTCAATGGCTAAAACACAGCTAAGTTTGATTTTTGTTTGCCAGTGTGCCATTAGTTTTTCATCTTAAATGCATTATGTAAATAAAGCAGGCTGAGTTCTTCCTTATACACATCACAGCACTAAATGTAATCTAGCACAGTAGGTGAGAAATAATTCAGTTTTTCTTCACTCTCATTTTGAGAGATTTTTAAAGCACATAAGTTGTTTCCTCTTCCAACTGAGGGGACAGTAATTTTCAAAACAGGTCAAAAACATTGCCTTTGGGGCGCCTGGGTGGCTCAGTCGTTAAGCGTCTGCCTTCGGCTCAGGTCATGATCTCAGGGTCCTGGGATCGAGCCCCACATCAGGCTCTCTGCTCCGCAGGAAGCCTGCTTCTTTCTCCCTCTCCCACTCCCCCGCTTGTGTTCCCTCTCTCGCTGTGGGTCTCTCTCTGTCAAATAAATAAAATCTTTAAAAAAAAAAATTGCCTTTAAGCCCAAATTATTCTTTCCATTATAACATGAAGTTGAGAACAATTCCATTTTCAACTAAAACTGAATTAAGAAGATTGTTTTACTTCGAGAATGCTCTCTGAGGGATCTATAGGGCATGAAACATTCCAAACAGTATCAGCAGGTTTTCAGAGGCCAAATGCCTTTGAATATGTAGGGGAAATCCACGTTAATTACTTTCTACACACCTCAGATTTGTAGGCCTTATTGTAATTAACTCAGTCATGCCCCACGTACCTTCTTAATGTTATGGCTTTGACTGTTATTAAAGGTCACTTATAAGGAACTGTCTTATGGAAAATTACCGCTTTGGCTATAAAATCAATATCAATGTTTTTTATTGATCCCTGCTAGCGTGTCTTTCAATACATAAATTTCTACATGAGAAATTTATGGACAAAAATCTCTTTTAAAACATGTAGTGACAGAACAGCCTTGGCTCTCCTGGGAGGCAGGACTTCTATGAAGTCAGATCATCCAGAGTCTGGATTCAGTGTATGATTTTCTGAGTTTCAGGTCCTGTCACATAAAGATAATAAAACCAAATTGTTGTACCTGAGGTAAAGGCAGTAGTTGACCTGGCTCAAAATGTGTGACACACAGGATCACACTTCACTCTCAGCATCCCACTCACCCTCCCCCCAAATCTTCCCCTCCTCTCTTTTCTTCTTGCTAGAAAATGGTTTGTCTGTGCTTGGATGAACGCATGGTAAAGAATGGCACAGAGTCAGTATCTGGGTTTCCATTTTTATGCTCTGCTATCTAAAGAGTGCTTTAATCTGGAGAATACGTTTATTTTAAAATAGGTTATGTTTTACCTTTACAATTTTCACTTAAATATTATTAAGAGGCCTATAAGTTTTAGAAAGTGATTAAATGTGGGGTGCCTGGGTGTCTCAGTCAGTTAAATATCTGCCTTCGACTGAGGTCATGATCTCAGGGTCCTGGGATCGAGTCCCATGCTGAGCTCCCTGCTCAGTGGGGAGTCTGCTCCTTCTGCCTCTCCCCCCAATGCTTATGCTCTTTCTCTCTAAATAAATAAATAAATAAATAAATAAATAGTGATTAAATGTATATGGCCAATGCTCAGAGCATAGGCATTATAAAGGCACAGATAACTAGGGAAGTCCACTTCCCGAGACAGAGCAAATGTTTCCAGTGAGCAAGACTGAAATGCTATCTGTTCAAATGTTGTCTTCTTTAAGGTATGGTTTTGTGTTTGAAAAGTACATCTTATAAGCCAACCTCCTATTCTGTCAACTTTCTCTCCAAGAATCCCTGATATTAACAAAGATTGTAGTGGGCAGTACCTTTGACTTCTGCTCTCATATTTAGTGACCCTGATACTCTCCTCTTACTTTATGAAGTTAGACAGACATCCCCTGTCTCACACAATTGGGTAGACCTAGGTTCTAGTCCTTATTTTTCCCTCCCACTGTAAGATTTTGGAGAGGTTACTAAAAATGGAGCTTCAGTTTCTCAACTATAAAATGGGAAATATAATGTTTATCTCATAGAATTCCTGAGATAGTTAATGGAATGCCCCTAATCCAGAGAATATGTCTAATTTTTTTCATGGTCTTCAACTCCTCTCCCTCCCTTATGTATGTGGCCATCAGTCACCACAAGAAGAAAAAAAGGAACCTAGTTTTTAGTTAGAGCCATTGTTCCCCTTGAATATGAAAGATAATAGTAAAAATGACGCCTGTGACCTTACATGCTAGAGGAATGTGAATGGAATGAAATATGAGTTATGATAAAATATAATATGCACCTTTATCAACAATTATGGAAAGAGCCCAAGTGTCCACCGACTGATGAATGGATAAAGAAGATGTTGTCTATATATACAGTGGAATATTACTCAGCCATAAACAAGAATGAAATCTTGCCATTTGCAACAATGTGGATGGAGCTAGAGTATTATGCTAAGCGAAGTAAGTCAATCAGAGGAAGACAAATACCATATGATTTCCTCATATGTGGAATTTAAGAAACAAAACAGATGAACATAGAGGAAGAAAAAAAAGAGAGGGAAGCAAACCATAAGAGACTCTTAACTATAGAAAACAAACTGAGGGTTGATGGAGGGAGGTGGGTGGGGAGATGGGCTAGATGGGGGATGGGCATTAAGGAGGGCACTTGTGATGAGCACTGGGTGTTATATGTAAGTGATGAGTCACTAAATTCTATACCTAAAACAAATATTATACTATATGTTAACTAACTAGAATGTAAATAAAAATTTGATGCAAAAATATGTATATAATATGCATCTTTAATCATAAAATGATGATTTTCTCTTAGCTTTTCAAAAATACTTTAAAAAATAAATATGAAATTGCTTAAGACTTGAACTTATAAAGAATTTAAATTCTGTCATCAGATCTCAGAATAAGAGAGATGAGCTCCTATAACAGAAATGTCTACAAATTACACTAATTTTAACTATACTAATCGTAGCAAAGGTTCTTGCTCCCAGAGAAACAAGCTCTGGCCAGACCATTCATGTAGGGACTACCACTGCCACCATCCCCCAAGGCCAGAGACACTTACCAGAGACCTAGAGACATACCTGCACCCTCCTTTCATGGAGACCTTTGGATCTGCCAGCATCCCGATGTCAGGGCATCACTCTCGTTTTGAGATGGTTCATGTTAATGATGATGATCTTACTAACCATTTATTTCTAACACTCCCTGTGTCAGACTCTGTATACATCCCACATATTTATCCCATTCAGTCCTCATCACAGCATCACATGGTAGGGATACTGATACCTACAGGTGACACCACTGAGAATCACGGGAGTTATGTGCATTTCTCAAAGTCATATGGCTATAAACAGCATTGCTGACTCAAACCTGGGTGCTGGATGCCAGTCTCTGCATTCTTAAATCCCCCCAGCACTGTATAATTTACAAAGACCAGTACTTTGACCTCCATGTATTTTTATCTGATTCTCGAGACAACGACTCCTTGAGTTTAGCCAGGAGATTTATGTCTTCTCCCTAATATTAGTGAAGCAAGTTAGACTCAGATGAGTAAAGTGATGTTTCTTTTTCTTTTTTTAATTTATTTTTTAAAGATTTTATTTATTTATTTTTGAAAGAGAGAGAGAGCAGGAGCATGCACAAGCAGGGGCAGGGGGGTGGGGGGGTAGGCAGAGGAAGAAGCAGACACCCTGCTGAACAGGGAGCCCAGTGCAGGACTCGATGCCAGTGTCCTGGGATCAAGACCCAAGCCAAAGGCAGACACTTAACCGACTGAGCCACCCAGGCACTCTAAAGTGATGTTTCTAATGTTGGCAAAGGCGGACCTCGGTGGCATGATCTGGAAGGGGCAGAAGGGCAAGGCCTTCTCCCAGGGTTCTGGAAGACACATACTTATAAACCTACCACACTGAAAGAGAGAACTGACAGGTATAATTCAAACTAGTGAATAAACTATGAGTTCAACAAATATTTACTGACAGTCTTTTATGTACTACACTGGACCGGATCCTGTGAAAAAGTGTGATAGTAAGACCCTCACCCTCAAAGACAGTCTTGTTGAGCACTCTGGTATTGTTCATTTAATCAAAAGGAGATAGTAGCTAGTCCTTTCAGTCAAATGTCCCCTGAGGGGAGAAAAAAGTACACTTTCTTACTATGATAAGATATGAAATGATTTTCCATTTCATCCACCCTGCTTTACAAAAATGTGCAAATATTTCAAGTAAAATGGCACCATGTGGGTGGGAAGCTTTGGCTCGTGTGGAGAAGCTGGAAGTCGGC